TCTTTTGCTGAGAAAAAACTTTTTAGTTTGAGTAAGTCCCATTTGTTGATTCTAGTTATTAACTTTTGTGCTATGGGTGTCCTATTGAGGAATTTGGAGCCCGACCCCACCGACTGTAGATCGTAGCCAACTTTTTCTTCTATCAGACGGCGCGTCTCTGATTTGATATCAAGCTCCTTGATCCATTTTGAATTCACTTTTGTGCATGGCGAGAGAAAGGGATTCAGTTTCATTTTGTTGCATATGGATTTCCAGTTTTCCCAGCACCATTTGTTGAAGATGCTATCCTTCCTCCATTGCATGCTTTTAGACCCTTTATCAAATATAAGATAGTTGTAGTTTTGTGGATTGGTTTCTGTGTCCTCTATTCTGTACCATTGGTCCACCCGCCTGTTTTGGTACCAGTACCATGCTGTTTTTGTTACTATTGCTCTGTAGTATAGTTTGAAGTCTGGTATCGCTATACCGCCTGATTCACACTTCCTGCTTAGCATTGTTTTTGCTATTCTGGGTCTTTTATTTTTCCATATGAATTTCATGATTGCTTTCTCTATTTCTACAAGAAATGCCGTTGGGATTTTGATTGGCATTGCATTAAACCTATAGAGAACTTTTGGTAATATCGCCATTTTGATGATGTTAGTTCTGCCTATCCATGAACAGGGTATATTTTTCCATCTTCTAAGATCTTCTTCTATTTCTCTCTTTAGGGTTCTGTAGTTTTCATTGTATAAGTCTTTCACCTCTTTTGTTAGGTTGATTCCCAAGTATTTTTTTTTTTTTGAAGATATTGTGAATGGAGTGGTTGTCCTCATTTCCATTTCAGAGGATTTGTCGCTGATATACAGGAATGCCTTTGATTTATGCATGTTGATTTTATATCCTGCCACTTTGCTGAATTCATTTATTAGCTCTAATAGTTTCTTTGTAGACCCTTTTGGGTCTAGCATGATCTCTTATTTTCCTTGCTCTGAGAGTTATTAGTCTGGGATTATAGCATCGTATTTACGGTGTTAATACTATAATCTCAGAAATTTAGGATCTCAGTTTACTTTAGAGTCTGTCAGGGGCCTGTATAAAAATCTTGCGAATGAATTTTAGTTAACAAAAATGAAGAAATGGTACAAAGAAAAACACACCAAGAGGATGTAGGCTGGGCATGGCAGTTCATGCCTGAATCCTAGCGTCTCAGGAAGCTGAGACAGAAGGATCGCAAATTCAAAGCCAGCCTCAGCAACAGTGAGGTGCTAAGCAACTCAGTGAGACCCTGTCTCTAAAGAAAATACAAAACAGGCCTGGAGATGTGGCTCACTACTTGAGTGCCCCTGAGTTCAATCCCTGGTACCGCCCCCCCCCAAAAAAAAGAGGATATAAACAGGAATTTGGAACCTCTGATATGTTGACAGTGATAAGAACAACGATGATAGCTATTATGGTTTAGCACATCTATGTACCATCCAAGTTGCTGTGCTTGAACTTGGTCTTGAGTTTTCTAGCAGCAAAGGTGAAAAGGGACGTGTAATATTGTTGGATAGTTCACATCTAAAAAGAAAATTGAAACCAAGTGTTGTTTTGGGTTTTTTGCTTGTATTTTTAATTTTTATAAAACAGTGTTATTGAGGTACAGTTCACATGCTATTCAAGTCACACATTTTGAGTGTACAGTTTAAGGCAATTGAATATATCACATTAATTAAAAATGTTATAGTAAAGTATATGTAACATAAAGCTTGCCATCTTTAGGGTTAGGGATGTGGTAAGGTTCTTGCCTAGCATACCCAAGGTACTGGGTTCGATACCCAGTACCACAAAAAAACAAAACTTGTCATCTTTAAATACATAATTTGGTAGTGTTAGTTATACTCTAGTTCCTGGCAAGTGCTAATCTACTGCTCTATGAATTTTCCTATTCTAAGTACTAATTATAAGTGGAATCATATAATATTTATCCTTTTTATGTCTAGCTAATTTCAGTTAGCATAATGTCTTCAAGATTTATCCACGTTGTAACATATATCAGACCCTAATTCCTTTTTTATGATTTAACAAAGTATTCTCTTGTATGGTATATCCATACC